AATGCTTTGTCAATAACATTTGTAAGTAAATTTTAATATGATTTAAAAAAATAAATTTATTCAGCATTGAACATGATGCCTTTTGACAGAGGATGTTTGAAGTGTCTCAGTGTCAGTATACAGTCTGTTTTTACTGTTTTCTCTGAATCAGTTCCCTAACTCATCCCAAATCCCTTTCGTCCAATCACACTGATGCTTGCTGACCAACACTGAGTTATGCAACACGTCATGTTTTAACATTTGCATTCTTGTTTTCAAATCTCTCTATGCTATCCCCCCTTTCTGTGTAATCACCTGCCACGACTGTCCAAAAACTTTGCGCTCCTCTTCTTCTACTTCTGGCCTCTTGTGTGATGATTTTAATCGATCCATGACCATGCCTTCAGCTGCCTGGGCCTTATACTCTGGAATTCCTCCCTAACCCTCATCCTTTTAAAGTGTTTCTTCAACCTCTACTTCTTTGAGCAAGCTTTGATCCTTTGTCTTCATATCTCCTTACAACACTAGGTATTTTATAGCGCTCCTCTGAAAAGCCTTGGTATTTTATCAACGGTGTTATATCAATACAAATGGTTGTTTAGAATCTCATTTAAGAGTGTTTAAGAGCTTCCTGATTGATTGGGAAGCCTCCAGTTATCCATAGAGTTACTGTCTTCCAACACTGAGACCACATTGTCCCCAGCACAGTGTTGGCTGAGGAAATATGCTCCCACATTAAAAGTTAGCCTCAGCCCTGCCAGAGAATCTAGTTTTGATGAGCTATTAAACGGGGGCCCTGTCTAGCCTTTCAGGTGGATGCAACGATCCAGTGGCACTATTCTAAGGGTGTGCTGGGGAGTTCTCCCCAGTGTTATGGCCGATGTCTATTCCTCAATCAACATCATTTAAAAAGAAAATGGATTATTTGGTCATTGTCACATTGTGAGCTCCCACAAACAGCAATTGGACTGCTACCTTTGTTGCATTGCAACACTGACTACGCTTTTAAAAATTGTTTTCATTGGCTGTCAGGTTCTTAAAGACTTCTTATGGGTGTGAAAAGCAATATATAAATACAAAGACAACAAGGTGCAGGGCTGGATGAACACAGCAGGCCAAGCAGCATCATAGGAGCAGAGAGGCTGACGTTTCGGGCCTAGACCCTTCATCAGAAAA